TAAAATCAAATATCCATAATAATGGTATTATATGTGAAGAATCAAACATCTTTAATTGAATTCAATAAATGTCAAAACCATTACTGTGAGCAATTTATTCAGTATCAGTCAGTCCAACAAGGCCTCATTCGTTATTCCCAATTTCCTTTATATGCCTTGCAAAGGCTATAGGGAATAACTCTTTAATGGATCCACTTTCATGCAATTAGTACTAAAATGCTCAAATGACACTTTAATTCGTCACTAATATTTTACTACCATGTATTTCAATTTTATGTGATTCACACCCTTTGAATACTTGTCATTCCTTGAAATATTATTGCTACAAAACCACGATAATTTCTTAGCGGCTTGGACAAGATGTCGACAGTTCCAAGTCCTAAGATAAAATATCGTAGCCCTAAATTTTGACTTGTGGCCTCAAAGCATTCCACAAACTCAAACTTAAGTGGAAGTCACGATGATGGAATTTGTTCCACTTTTTCATAATTTTGCTCCTTTAAACATTATGAGCAAAAAGTCTGAATCCAAGTATACAATTATAACAAATAATTTCGATCTTCTAGCATGTGTTCTTTAATGCCTTGTGAATACTTTAAAAAATTCTTTGCAGCATTTAAATAATCATTTATAGATTTCTTTTATATATTTGTTTAATGTACCAACAACAAATTGTTATCAAACCTAGTACAGGTTCGTCTCCTTTAAGAATCCTAATCATTATATCTAAGGAATTTCCTCCATCGCTTTTTCATTCCATTTCACCTTTCGGACATTTATTTAGAATAAATTTGTCCCTTTTATGAATTAGAATTATACGAAAAAACCATCCATTCTAATTATCTCCAAAATTCTCGAATTATAACTTTTATGGGATAATATTTTAGTCCTTCTGATCTATTCTAGAATATTATTGTTCCATTTACCAAGGACGTTTCATTCATATCCTATATTTCATAATTCACAGAGAGATAATACTTTACTTCGTGCAACATGTCCACATTATTAGAAACTATAAATATGTCATCGACATACGAAACTAAAATAACAAATCTACTCCCACTGACCTTAATGTAGATACATCGATCTACAGTATTCTCTACAAAACCATAAGCAGTGATGATATCATTAAACTTAAGATACCATTAAAGAGAGACTTGTTTTTGTCCATATTTCGCCTATTCAGCTTACACACGCACGATTCATTTCGTGTGATCTTAAAAACTTTTAATTAGTTCATGTAGATCTCCTTTTAAGTTTATCATTTAGAAGGTGATCTTTTTGTCCATTTGATAAAACTCAAAATCATACAGAGCCACCATAACCATTAGAATTCTCAAGGAATCTTTCTTGAAACGAGAGAGAATGTTTCCTTGTAGTCAATACCTTCCTTTTGGGTGTAACTTTTATAAACAAGTTTAACTTTATATCTTTCGATATTACCTTAAGAGTCGTGTTAGGTTTTGAAAAACCCATTTACACACAATTCTTTTATACCCTTCAAGTAATTCTACTAAATTTCAAACTTTATTGTCATCCATTGACTATAATTATTCTTTCATGGCATTGATCAACTTTTCCTGAATTTTCACTTTTAATGGCTGTCATTCATCAACCAAAGGTTGTTCTATAATTTCTTGATTGTTCGTAAACGATTCATTATCAAGTGAGTTTGGATCATTTTGTTATTCATCTAAGTTAAATGACGGTAATTTAACTAGAATAATAACAACAATTAATGGACTCTCGGGTTTGGATTGTTCAACCTGAGTTTCTTTGACATCCAAACTTTGCGGTTCCAAACTCCCACTGATTTAATCATTTTAATGAATCGAGCATTTCCGCAATCAACTATTCTCGTACTATGGTTAGGGCCATAAAACTTATATCCTTAAGAACTTTCCGGATAGCCAATGAATAACCACTGCATGTCCTAGGATTAAGTTTCTATTCATGTGAATTATATTCTTTTACTTCTGCTCGACACCCCAAACATGAAGATGCCTTAAACTAGGTTTCCTACTCTTTCATAGTTCATAAGGTATTTTAGGAACTACTTTAATAGGAACCCAACTTACCCAATATGCAGCAATCTTTAGCACATGAATCCACATAGAAAACGTTAATGTTGAATTACTCAACATACTCCTAACCATATCCTTTTAAGTACGGTCTATCCTCTCAGCAACACCTTTACGTTGAGAAGTCTTAATTATAGTGTATTGCACACAAATATTTCAAATCTCAAGAAACTTTAAAAATGGACTAGGATATTATCCTCTTTCATTGAACTTACAATAATATTCACCAATCTAGTGACAACTCACAACTTTTATTTACTGATCTAACTACATTTTCATATCATCATTGTATATTGATAGTCCAATGATTGAGTCATTTCATGTAGTAGATTAATATAACCATAACGTGAGAAATCATTTATAATGGTGATTAGATACTTTACATCACCCCATGAAGGGATGTCGAACAAACCACAAAAATTAGTGTACATGAGTTATAAGATTATAGTGCTTCTATCGGCAGATCTCTTTAATGTATGTCTAGTTTGTTTTTCTTTAATTCATTCTATACATACATCTTGATCACTAAAATCCAAATGAGAAATAGTTTCCTTATTCACCATTCTCAAAACTTTTCTTCGGATATGTGGCCATAATCTTTAATACCATAAGAGAGTATAGTATTCATTTTGTGCACTACGTTTAACCCAAAAATAAATATGAGATACATAAGTAGTTGCACAGAATCAAGCCACCTATATTATTGGGAATCTTTAATAAATTTGATTCACAACATACGAAAATTTATGCATGTTTTCTTTTCGAATCAAGATTTTATTTCGGGCAATCTTTTCTGAGGTTTCCTAACTTTTTACAGAAATAACACCTCATTTCTTTAATGATTGGACCTGCAAAACTATGAGTAAGCCAATCTCCTTTTATTTGCCTTTATTTCCCACTTTATCTTACTATTATTGGCTCTCACATGAGATATAAAGTGAATCGACTCTTATTTCTTCTCTTTTATTCTCACCCCTTCTTGCACCAACATAGCCTTAATTTCCTTGTAGTCCCATTTATCTTTAATGGTGTTATAGTTTACCTCAGATTGGCCAAACTCGACAGGTAGGGAGTTCATGATGAATAAAACCATAAATGAGTCTCCCATAGTCATTCTCATGTTTGTAAGTTTGGCTTAAATGTTGAACATGTTAGACACGACACCATAATGGAACGGAATTAGTTGAACTCTTATAGTGATGAGTTCCATCATGAAACTTTCCACAATGGACTTTTTCCGTAACTTTAAATAGAGATAGTTCCTTGATTTTTATTTAGGAATTCTTTTACATTATCAGCCTTAATGTTATCCGCCATAATTAATTTCATAAAATTCAAACACAACCTATTTGATCGCTCACATACCGTACGAAGAGTTACCTTTACTTCGGAGCTCTCATCAGTAATGGTTGTGGGCGTTTCATCAGTAAGTAGATTATATTCAAATTCAGTGCACCTAATTGAAATGGATATGCTCAGACCATTCATTGAAGTTTAGCCCATTGAATTTTTTCAACAATAATACTTGACGGAAAAACCAATTTAAACACTGCAAACTTTAATGCATGTTATTTAATTAAGCTTTGGGAGAAAATTAATGGATTCAGAAATCTTTTAAATTATACATTTAAATATACCTTTGGACAATACTTAAATATATAATATATTAATTGATGCCTAAGAGGAAAGATCTTTAATAGAAATTATAGGGTCTTGTGATTAATTAGTAGTTATCTTTGGACAAACACACTAATTATCCTAACTTTAATTATGATTTCCCTTTTATATATCAATCCTTAATAGAAATTATACAAACTTGAGTCAACTAGCGACTATCTTTGGACAAACACGCTAATTAATATCATTTTAAGTATAACTTCTTTTAAATATTAATCTTTAATAGAAATTATATAAATTTTGATCAACTAGCGGCTATCTTTGGACAAACACACTGATTGACCTAACTTTAATTATAATTTCTCTTTTAGTTGTCATAATTATAAACACATGGCCCACCTTTGGGTATCCTTCTGGTTTATAATTCACGACATCAATTATTCAAATATATGATTTGAGAGACATTAATAAGGCATCCTCTTATATTTGAATTGATACTTCATCTAATTTAATTATCTATTCCATAAATTAACTAGACCACTTTGGTGACTAACTAGTTTCTTACATAGATAATATAATTAGAAAATATTTTATTTTAACTAGGCCACTTTGGTGACTAACTAGTTTCTTACATAGATAATATAATTAGAAAATATTTTATTTGATCATATTATGAGATATTCACACTTTATTAATCTATGCAATTAGCCTTCAGAAAATACCATTCGAACATAAATCTCAGTTATTCTAAAATCTGGCCGGCCTCATAATTAGCTTTTCGTGATCAAGGATTTAAGATGGCTACATGATCAATAACAAATATATAATTATTGACCAATAAATAATAGATCAACCATTCAATTAATAAAAATAGAACTACATTTATGAGAACACACTTTCAGGGTTTCAACAAATAATTCCCAGAGTTCAATTGCAGGCCAATGACAATTCAACACAATGTTTGTCTCTTTCTAGAGTTCTCGTCTCCTAAGTGAGTTCCCAAGTTCCACTTAGTTGGATGTTGTCCCTGTTGATTTCAATCAAAGTTCTTTTCAATTTTCAGATTTCGTTTCCGCATCTGTAATAAGCTCTAATCTATCTTTATTCTCCTATTGGAATCCATCTGCTTGTTTAGACTTTCTTCAGCGTGTTTCTAGAATTATTGTTTCATGTCCTTTCGATCTTCTTTTACAACATCCCTTCTTTTGGTTGGAAGTTTGTCTCAAGGGTATCTTTATCTCTTCAGTGAGGCTTTTGTCAACTATTGATTCTCATAGAATCTGGTATTAGGGTTTCAAACACATGGGGTCAGAGTTGGAGGAAGATTTCAAAAACTTCAATTTATCGGCTAAAGAGGAGGATGGGATCGAAATAGCAGAAGATGATATCAAAGCCAGAATGAAGGAGTGCGCTCTCAGCCTAATGGGAAGTCTATTTGGGGAAAAGCGAGCAAGTTTCATGGGGTTAAAGAACACAATGCAAAATATCTGGCTAACCAAAAATCCATTCTTCTCGAGGATGGTGGGCAGTAATGAATATCAATTTATATTCCAAACTGAGGAAGATAGGAAGAAGGTGTTGGAAGGTAAAGCATGGACCTTTGATGGCCAGTATCTTCTGTTGAAAGAATGGAGTGCGGAGAACAACGACTACACTGAAGAAGAGCATAAGATCGAGTTATGGGTACAGATCCGTGACTTACCACTCCATTGGGTGACTTAAGAAGTGGGAATGAAGATAGGGCAACTGTTTGGCAAAGTGGTGGATGTGGTGGTGCCAGAGATGGGAGGAGTTGGAGGAAGAATGGCCAAAATCCTAGTAGAACTCAATCTGAACGAGCCAATCTTGAGAGGTACGCATCTCAAAATGGGAGGAGAGGTAAAATGGGTCTCCTTCAAATATGAGAATCTCCAGAACTTCTGTTATTATTGCGGAAGGATAGGCCATTCAGACAGGTCTTGTGGTAAGAAAAAAGAGGATATAGCTGGGAAAAAGCTTAAAAGTGGACAATTTGGGGACTGGTTAAGGGCTACTCAGGGGAGTGGGGTAGGTGTTAGGGGGGTGGGATCAAGTCTTCTGAGCCTAGAATTCAGTCAGAGGGTAGTCTTGTTATGGGCAATAAAGGGGCTAATTCTCAGGGGGGGTGTAGAAGAGGAGAGGGTTCAGAACAAAATGGGGGAAATAAAGGGGGTGGAGGAGTGTCTGAGGGTAAGAGAACAAGATTCTAATAGAGTTAGTCCTAACACTGACCTTAATAAATTGTTCCTCATTAAAAAACCAGTAACAAGTTCTAATGTTGGAGTGGAGGGGCAGCCAGGAATAGAAATGATAGGAAATATGGGGGTAGATAACTCTAATATGATGAACTTAGATAATCTTATGGCTGTTCCAGTGCAAGCTGCTACTAACAAAATTCTTAGTGATCTGCAATATCAGGATGATCCTGCCCAAAGCAGGAGAAAACCTAGAATAGCAGTTAGAAAGTTAGGAAAAGATAAAAGTTCAAATTGCCCTAGGCAGTCTTCTGACAGTGTCAAATCTGAAGGGGTCAAAAGGAAAAATGAGAAGATAACTGTAGTAGAAGATGAAGGGTAAAACTTTGCTAAAAAAAAAAAATTGTCTAATGAGGAAGAGGTCTATAGGGAGTCAGAGTCTTATAGGGTGGAGGTGACCAGCCAGAAATGGTTATCAAGTTCAAAATGAAGGTCATGGTGTGGAATTGTAGAGGTCTGGGAGAGCCCTCTACAATTTCCCAGCTGAAGGAGTCAATGAGACTCCACCTTCCAGATTTTGTCTTTTTACCTGAAACAAAAAAAAAAAAAGCTTCATTAAAACAGTGTGTAAAAATATTAGGGTGGGTTGATAGATGGTATGTAGTGGATCCAGTGGGTCTCAGGGGGGATCTCTTTTTGTCTTGGTCTTACAATATTAATATATTAGATATTATTCCCACCTGTTTTGGTTTAGAAGTTAAATTTATGTTACCTAATAATAGTAATACGTTTTGGGCCGGGTTCATTTATGCAAGTACTTGTGGGTGGAAAGAGAAGCTCAGTGGCAGGCTATTAGAAGACATAGGTTGATGTGGGGGGAATACTGGTTT